TGAAAATGGTCGTCAACCCTCTTTGCAGCCCAGCATTGCCCCCCGGCACGTTCCTGACGTCGTTTTTTCTCCCGGTGTTTGGTGCACACTTGGGGGATGGCCCACGGCGCTGCCACGGGCAATGGGTGAAAGCCCTCCCAGGCCAATCTGCATGGTGAGCTGGCTTTCCACTGGCCAGGACTGTGGGGAAATCGTCCCCAAATATAAACCATGCGATAGAGGAAAAATGGTGGCAAGAAGGTGCGTGGGTGGCTGCCTTTGGGTGGACGTGGCTAAATGTAGGCTGCTTGAACAGGATGGAAAAAAAAACACTGAAAACAAACAGTTTTGTCCAATTCTGAGCAAAATTAGCAGTATGGTGGGGGAAAAAAAAAAAAAAAAGGTGAAACAGCCAGAAATGGATAATTTCTCTTTATGAACATCTGACAGTTCACGCCTTGAGGGTTAATGGAAGGATAAGCCAAGTCCTCTTGCAGGCTCCGGTGTGGATGGACGCATGTGGTTTCTCCTCCTCCCTCCAGTGCTGCTTTCTGCACGGTGCTGCTCGGAGCTGCTGCAGGTCCCTGGGCTAGGTTGAAGGAACCAGGTGAAAGGACCAGGATAACCCAAAGGATAACCCAAAGACAGGTCCCTCTTGGGGAAGAGGTTGGAGTTCAAGGAGACAGGGAGGTTGTTAGCGTGAAAAAACGGGTAGATGTGGCACTTGGGGACATGGTTTAGTCTAGTCTACCCTTGATTGGCTTAGAGTAGACTTGGTAGTGTGGGTTAATGGTTGGACTGGGTGATCTTAAAGGTCTTTTCCAACCTAAACGATTTGATGGTTCTATGATTCTATGAAAAAGGCTTCCTCCAACTTCCAAGGTATGGCAGGCATGAGGTCCCAAGCCCAATTTGTGACATCTCCATTTTGGAGTGTCTTGGGCAGGGCATGGCCTCCTAGCAGGAAAATCTGTTTTTATTCTGTCTCCCAGGCACTTCTGCAACTGCTCCTGGTCTGTATTTGTAGGCGACGGAGCCCCGTGGGCAGCAGAGGCTGGCATGCCTCCCCAGCGTGGGGAGAGCACCTTGTTCGGGCGGTGGGTGGCTGGTGGGCTTCTTTGCAGCCATTTCGTTGCAGAACCGTGCTGAGGATGCCTCCCGCAGCAGCGAGCCGCTCGGTTTCCTGCCTGGGTGTGCTGACCTCTGGAGCGACGCTAGACAGAGCAGCAAAGGGATTTAGGCTGTGGTTGGAAAACCCCAAGGAGTGCGGCTGCGGTGTTTAAAGACATTTTTGTGTTCCCCAGCTGTTTGCCATGGCCTCTCCGCTGGAGCTTTCTGTGCCCGCGGGAGGACAGGGCTGGGCTGGGTTAGTTTAGTCGGGTAATGAGCTGAGCTGACCAAGATGCCTTTGTGCTGTGAATACCACCCTCTCCAAGGCTGACATGCTGGGTGTCATCTGCAAAAGCATGTTAACAAACATCTGGGGAGCTGCATCTATAAATGTCCAAGCTGTTTCTAGAGGGATCTTCTCATCCCAGCTGCAGAACTTTCCCATAGCAGGAAATCTGCCTCCCAGATGTGAGGTGCGAGTACATTTGAGACTGAGACAGTGGCTTAGCTTCTTTAGAGGGAATATTTATTATTGCTATAATTATCTATATTCCCACAGGGAAGAGTGTGTAATCACTACGAGAGCAAGCATAAGTATTAAGACGTCAGCCGTCTCGTGACTGCTGTGCTCTCCTGGCTTTGCTGTCTGGACGTTAACCTGTCCGTGCCTCAGTTTCCCCCCACCTGTAAGGTGATGATAAGGACTAAGTTTCACCAGAAGCCAATATGTCTATCGCGTGGCAACGTCTCAGGTTTCCACACCTCCCTTTGCTCCAGACCAAAAGGGCCATTTCAACATATTTTGTGAAAACATAGTTTGTGCTGGACAAACCCAGACTCCTGCTATCCCCATCTGGGAATGCATCGATGGCATGGGCTTGGAGTCGCAGGAAACCCTGGGCAGTGGGGAGAAAATCGCCCTGGCTCAGCCTCTCCGCCAAAAATGAGGTTAAAACCAGTGCGTTCCCCCCACACGAAACAAAATGAGATTGAAAACATCCCGAGAGCTGTCGGGATAACACGGGGCTGCATTTTGGGGTCCGGAGGAGGAAGGAATTCCAATACCCTCAACAGCAATGTGGGTAAAAGCACTACATGGAGATCAGGCACAGCTCAAACCTCCTCCCCTATTTTCTGGAGGGGGTGAGTCAGCGGCGGCTGCTGGCCCTGCTAAAAACCTCATCCAGAATGCCCTTAAGGCTGCGTCCGAAGAGCCTTCAGAGGGATTTGCACACTCGATTGAAGTTAAGCATGTGTCTGAGTGCTTTTGCTGTGTCCAAGCCATAATCCCAGAAATGTTTCAAGTGGGAAGTTGCAGCCTGCTGGTGAAATTCTGGTTTTAAAGACTTTTTTTTTTTTTTTTTAAATCTGAATTTCTTTATTTTTGGAAACGGCTGGGCTTTTGGCCATAAGACATTTCTTTCTTCCGGGAAGCCCCCCTGGAAGGGGGTCTCCTGCTGCCCCTTTCCTGGATGCTCGCAGAGCTTCTGGAAAACTGAAGTAATGGTCCCATTCAGGCTCTTGCCTGGTGAAATGGTCCTGGATCCTCTTCTGCTGCTCCTGTATTAAACGTTGACCTTTCTATTTGAGCAGAAAATGCCAAAGCTGGGCACCCTGGCGCTTGAAAGGTCTTGACTTTATCTCATAGAATCATAGAACCATCAAATCGTTTAGGTTGGCAAAGCCCTTTAAGATCACCCAGTCCAACCATTAACCTACACTACCAAGTCCACACTAAACCAGTCAAGGGTAGACTAGACTGAACCATGTCCCAAAGTGCCACCTCTGCCCGTTTTTTGAACGCTTCCAGGGATGGTCACTCCACCACCTCTCTGGGCAGCCTGTTCCAATGCTTGACCACCCTTTCCGTAAAGAAATTTTTCCTAATTTCCAACCTAAACCTCCCCTGACGCAGCTTGAGCCCATTCCCTCTCATCCTATCGCTAACTACATGGGAGAAGAGACCAACACCCCCCTCACTAAAACCTCCTTTCAGGTAGTTGTAGAGAGTGATAAGGTCTCCCCTCTCAGTACTGAATGGGAAAATGTTTGCAATCCTGACTCCAGCCTCGGGGCATTTGGGACGCAGGTGCCAGCCCACATTACGGCGGTCCCTGCTCTGTGGGAGCTGTGGTTGTGGGGGAAGAGAGCATGAGCAGGGATGGGGAGACAGCAAACCTTCTGATAACCATGAACCATGATAACCATGATCATGATAACCATGATCACGACATCTGAGTGAGCTTCTCCCCAAGTCAAAATTTTAGCCGTTAGTCACTTGATGTGAAATTTACCCACAAGCGATGCTCTGCCGTGGGCCTGTGCCCCATTGCAACCCCGTGGGGTCCATGCAAAAGTTGGAGAGGGCACGGAGGATGCTTGAGGTCCCTCAGCCATCTGTGCCAGGGCTCAGGGCACAGACCCCCACTCTGAGGACCGTCCTGTATCATGTCCAAGATAAAACACTGGAGGTGATTTTGGCTATTGCCTGGCTGCTAAATGAAATCCCTAAATTCAGTCGCTTATGTGGTGGAGCCATTGCTTTCCCTGGCTTTCCCATTTGCAGGCAAATGGATTAATGTCCTTCGCTATTAACATTCCAGCTGCTCCCCTTGCCTCCTCTTTTTTTTTTTTTCCTTCCCCCCCTTTTTTTTTTTGTAACATCAGTAGAAATCAGCAAAAATATCTAACCAAATTCTTTGTCTTGGGGCTGCAGAAGATACCATGGGTAAGTCGTCAGATTAGTTTAAGTGCTTTCTTTGTAACTCAGTACCTGTGGAATGTCGTAATAAAGCCATGATGGTCAGAGTGTAGCTTTTTAAACAATAAAACAGGGGAAGCGATGAAAGGCCCTTCTTTTTTTTTTTTTTCAAGAAAAGGGAGGCAGCAGAGGCCTCAGAGTTAATGTATGTAATATTTCTATTAAAAACAATGTCTATTCAAGACAGCAATTTAAAGCCTGCACCGTTGGCTTAAAATATAAATCCAATAAACCTCTATTATGATTCCTCCATTAGGTCAGTGTGATGGAATTTTGTGGACTTCTAAAATAAGACATCATTATTTTTCAGGAATGTTTCATGAATCACAGTCAAAGCCCCTTCATCTTTGCTTGTATAAATTTCAAAAATGGTGCTCTTATAAAATATATACATTTGTTGAAACCGGCAGCCGGCTTTCTTCTTGGAACAGCATCCTTGGAGCTGAAATCCAGTTTGCATAGCAGATGAGGCAAATGCTCCTTAATGGCATTGTGGCTGTGGGCTGGGAGGTTGTGAGGCTGAGGCTGTATGAGATTTGCCCGTTCCTTTGTATAATATCAATGAGAACAGTTACATTACGCCTGAGCGAGGTGCAGCACCTGAGGACCGTTTTTATTTAGTGGAAGTATATGCATTTTATGCATATATTTGGTTGCCCATGTGCTTTGTTTGGATGGGGAGGTTGGGTGGTGCTGGGACACAAACCAGAAAGGCAATCCCCATCCCAGAAACCCCAAAACCTCCCAGACCATGCCTAAACTGGGGGCTGAGTTTAAGAGCAGTCCTCACGTCCTCCCTGAATTTCAGGCTGTCAGGACCATGTTAGCACAAGAGTTAATTTGTCTCATCCCCTGTGCGGTCCTGCACTGAGGTCCTGGGAAGACTACCATCCAAACTGGCCAAAATCTGCTCCTGGCCTAAAAATGCTGTGCATTTCTTCGTGTGAGCTCTACCTCATCCTCCTATGGAGAATCATCCTCTCTGCTGACAGGTCCGTGGTGTCGCCGTGGCTGCCAACAGCTGGATTTGGGCTGGAAGCATCCCAAAAGCACCTTGAAACCAGGCAGTGGGGAGCTGTAGGTTGGGTTCATGATAACTTCATCACCTCTGCAGGACAGAGACCCACCAAACCCAGGCTGTGCCATGGGGTTGGTGCACAGGGCAGAAGTTCACCTCTAGCAATTATGGGAGATGCTGCTGTCATTGATTGTTGGGGTTTGCTCATGGAGATCTGTAACTTTGGTATCCCTTGCCACCAGGAGGAAGAATTCATTGACTGGTGGAGCAAATTCTATGCTTCGACAGGAGAGAGGGAAAAATGTGGCTCCTATTTAGAGAAGGGCTTTGACACCCTGAAGGTAAGTGGCCTTGGCTGGTTCTGGCTCATTGGACCTGCACTCTCCATGATGTTTTTCCACAAGCTTTGATTTTTTTGTGTTTAGGCTTTTTTTCCTTCTGGGACCAAAAAAACCAAAAAAGATAATTTTCCCCTAAGAGCAGGTACTTTTGTTTTAAAAAATAACTTTTGAAAACTTGGTTTTCTTTGTAAAATCATTTCTGGTAACTTTCCACTTTGCAGACTTCAAGAAATTGTCACTTTTCTAAATGGCAGAGGAGGTGGGGAACTGCCACCCTGAAAAGTGTTTGGGAACAACAAGGAAGGCCAGAGATTGCTTAGGGAAGAGGGAGATTTAGGTACCCTGTTACAAGAATTGCTAAAATTAACACAGGAGCCCAAATAGGACTCAAATGGGGAAGACCTTGCCCGGTCTTAAGGAAAATGTTCCCAGCAGGAAGGTCGCTCTGGCTGATGAAAACCCTCTGCGACACCTTGGCTTAGTCTGGGTCTTCTGTGATGTGCTGTTATTTATTGTAGGGTTGCTCAAGGTCTGTTCTTCATCACTGTCCTGGGGGGACAACGAGGGTGACAGGTCCCAGGACTCGGTCCCTGTGGGTGGTGTTTCCCCCAGACTGAGGAGCTTAGGTCAAGACTTGTCCCAGATCGGTGGGGACACGCTGCTGGTCCCCCGCTGCCCGGGAGCAGTCCCTGCCCTCGTCCCCCATCTCTCCCTCCCCAGGTCTACGAGACAGAGCTGGAGAATGTGGAGGACTTTGAGCATCTCTCCGACTTCTGCCACACCTTTAAGCTGTATCGCGGCCGGTCGCAGGACTCGAATGACGACCCCTCGGTTGTGGGGGAGTTTAAGGTGCGATGGTCTCTCTTTCTACCTGTACCTGGGAACACACTCTGCTGGGCGGAAGGTCTTGCTGCTGAGTTGCCAATTGACTATTTTTGGGTAGGAATTCAGTGAGAAATGGGCCATAAGAGTAGACCACCGGGCCAAGTCTGAACAACCTGCCTGTGCAGGTCTGGCTTGGCTGCTGTATTTCCAGCAGTGAGTACCTTGCATGCTTCAAACCCAGTCTAGGCTGTGTTGTCCTCCAGCAAAAACCTATCTGGAGCCAACGCTGGATGTAAGCGATGGAGCATCTTCTTTCTCCAGGGCAGTGGTGGGAGTGTGTGTGAGCACTGATGGTCTCCCCAAGCCAGTGCTCAGAGCTCTCCCTTTGGAGGTGTCTGTCCAGTGCAGAGGAGCAATGCATCTTTTGCTTTTTTTTAACCTTTAGCCTGTTTGCAAGAGAAGAGGAATTAAATTTTTTTTAATTCCTGCTCTTACTCAGCACTGTCCTCCCCTAAGCAATACCTAGAGACAGATTCCTGCCACTTCACTGGGTGGAAATCAGCTCTGGTGAATAAAACACTTGTAAATTTTTGCATTTTCTCTCTCCTCCTCCCGCCCCTCTCTCAGGAACCAGCTGCCTTGTTCAGGAACCCTTAAAACTGTCCCTGCAGAGAAAGGCTCAGCCTAAACCTTCGCAGGGCTGATTCATAGCGAGGCTCCTTCACGCCTCTTTAAAAACGTGAAGGCTCAAAGGACAGGGAGGTAGAAGAGGTAAAGGACAAACAGGCCGGAGTGGCTCTGTGCAGACTTATAACAGAGTTTGCATTGACGTTCAGGCAAGAGATGAATGATACAGGCAGCTCGCCACCCTGCTCCTGGCTCCCTCAACCATGAAGAGCCTGACAGGACGTGGTCTGGTCTAGTAATAGAGGAGGGTCAGGACCTGGGCTCTGTCCCCAGCATTGTAGTAGTTGTAGGTGCCCCATCAACATTCAAGGTCAGGTTGAACGGGGCTCTGAGCAACCTGATCTGGTTGAAGATGTCCCTGCTCATTGCAGCGGGGTTGGACCAGATGACCTTTAAAGGTCCCTTCCAACCCAAACCATTCTGTGATTCTATGCAACCATCCAGACCGTTGTTGCAAGCCTGCTCACACGAGACCCATCTGCACGTGTGGGTGTGCAAGTGCAGCTGAACATGTCTGTCCTTCACAGGGTTCGTTCAAAATTTACCCTCTCCCGGATGACCCGCGAGTCCCAGTGCCACCTCGACAGTTCCACCAGCTGCCGGCCAGAGGACCCCAGGAGTGTCTTGTCAGGGTCTACATCATCCGGGCCTTCGACCTCCAACCCAAGGACGCCAATGGCAAGGTAACCTGCTGGAGAAAGTGCTGGTGGACCTCAATGTTGGGTCACGGAGTGGACTCTTTCAACAGGCCAGTCCCGATTGATCAAAATTTGTGTATATGGCTTAAAATTTAGAAACAATGGTGACAGCAAAAAAGGAGAAAAATCTACCCCTTCTTTCTGCCTCCATTGCAACATCTGGGAATCCCAGGAGCCAACTCTTCCTCCATCCTGAGGGATTTTTCAGTAGGGCTAGTTAAAATAGCTAAATGATTTTTTTTTTTTTTTTACCTTGGTGCCAAAGGAAACAAAATCATGTCTTTCACATGACTGCTTTTTGCAAAGCTTTGCCAGTCTGGAAGAAAAATTCAGTGCAAAAAGAAAATTGTGTTGGTTCAAAAAGAAAATGTTCATTTTGTTTCACTTTGCAAAAAACCTCAGGGAAAAATCCTCCTTAACTCTCTTTGTTCCACTGGAAAATAGGGAAAAAGTTAAAAAAATGTATGGGAAATATTTTGACATGAACAACCCCCCCCCCCCCCTTTTTTTACTTTCCTACATTCTTT